CTTCGAGATGACATCCTCCCTGAACTTGGTGTTCGATTTGAAGATCATGAAGGTATCCAATTATATGTCTTGCAACTTTGTAGGCAGCTGTTTTTATAATCTTACTATTTGCATAACAAGTGGGAAAACAACCTGTCAAGACTAATCTGGAATAATCCAACAAATTTAAGGACTGCAAACCTATAGCATATCGTATTTCTGATGTATGAATATATATTGTAGAACTGTATATTGGAATATATAGAGAGAATATAAAAACTTACACTACAATATTTTTGACCTTTTTGCATGTCACGTAATTTCTTGGTCATTTTTGAGTAGTTACTCAACTGTGTTTGCATTCAGCTTGCAAAAAGAAAACAGTGAGAGGATAAATACATTTATCTTTGACTATTCAAGCATGGGAAACTCATTCATCTGTTTTTGCCTCTTTAGGACTTCCAACTGTGGTTAAATTAGTGGATAAGGAAACATTATTGAAAGAAAGAGAAGAAAAGAAAAAGGTTATTATTTTATGCATTCTATATTTTTAAAAATTTAAAGTAATGTATATGCTATGGATACTTTTACATTTCTGTGATAACTTGTAAGAAAAATCTTAACAGACTAGCAACAAGGAAAATAACATGAGTGCTGATACTAAAATTTGTGTCCAGGGAAAGAATTTTTGAAACTAGCTTCTTGAAAATTTTGTATGAGACCTAATGAATACCTCTAAGGTTTTTTGTTGTTTTTTTGTAAGATCTTCGTACAATTAAGGGATGTTGAGTATTGCATGCATACTGTCTTATCTCTCTGGAAGAACGATTCCAGTGAGAAGCTGATTTGGACTTCTTTTGTCTGTACAAATGAAGTTGACATTTTCCATAGAACTAGACTGTATTTATCTGATATGTGAGAACCAAATGCACTGGCTAAATTTAATTAATGTAGTATGGATGAGTGAGATATTCAGGATGTAGGGGCAAGAATACACATTACTATATAAAGATTGTGAATATAATTCACATGCACAAAGTCTGTACAGAAACCCTCCTTTTGGTACTTCCTAGCATTAATATTTGACTTTGTAAACTTTAAAAGTAACACTTTGTATGTCTGTCTTCAGTTTTAACAAATAATAAAATTCCATTGTGACTAGAAATGTTTGGAAGACTTTCCAACACTACTTCTTCCATGTAGATGTTTTTTAGAAAAGAGAGAAGTAAAATGTAATTTCAGCCAATTCCAGTTGTTTTAATCAAAAAGACATTTGAAGGCAGTTTGTATATAGCTGCAAGTGGAACCTGCAGCTAGAGGACATTTTCCCTGGAAACAGTATTCTGTTCAGTACTGGCAGAACCCTTGGAGAACTGATAGGTGTCTCCCAAGCAAGTGTGAGATGAGATTTTTATTTTTTCCCCAAGTTTTATAAATTGGCTAAATTAGGAACATCAAGGGATACCACTGCTTCTTGAGAAACTGTAACGTCTTCACATTTAAGCTCTTTGAGGCAAGAGCTTAAAATATCAGCGAAATATGGTCTTTTTTTAAAGTCATTTGCAAAACATTTTTCCCCATGAAACGGCAAGACTATTTCTTTTGCAGGCTTTGTAGGTATTCTTTTATATTTACACACTTTGCATGCAAAATGCATTCTGAACAGTTAAAACTGGTGTAACTGTGATAAAAGCAAATGAAATCAAAGTCATACAGTGGGAAGTATCAGACCATGCTAATTATAAGGCATGGTGTTTTTGCTGCAGGTCATGCTGCCAGTTCTGTCTGTAATTAGATATCCAGGGGAGAGCTAGCTGGCTCAGATTTGTAGAAAACAACCAAATGAAGTAGTTAGTTACCTTTTACTCATTAACATTGCCTTTCATAGATTGAAGAAGAGAAAAAAAGGAAGAAAGAAGAAGCAGCCAGGAAAAAACAAGAGCAGGAAGTAAGTGTTCAGATCCTTTTAATCTGGTTTTGAACAAAAGTGTTAGCAGCAATAGTCACATGCAGGAAAGATTACATTAGAACACAGGCTCTCTGCCCGGCCTTAACTGGGCCTCCATTTATTTTTTTTTTGTCTACAATTTCCTGCTCAGAATGACTTTGGCTTGCAGTTCAGCTTTGAATATTCAGCTCCTATTATAGAGAAGCCATCTTTGAAAACACAACTAAAGGCTGCAAAAGCTTCTTAGAAGAACTTGTAGCACTTATTTCAGTCTATAGACAGTATTACTTCCTTAAATGCCAATGTAGTATCTTTCATGCCTGTTAGAGAGGATTTTGCTTGTGTCATTTATTTTCTTCCCTTTCCAGTGTTGTAGGTATGTGTGAAAACATTTCTTTCTTTTTAAGAATCCACCTGTTCCCTGTGATTGAAACGTAGCGTTTCGTAAAAACACATTTTATTTATTTTATTTAGTTGGAATTGAGATAGCTCAAAGGTTTTAGGCTTTGGATGAGGAGTGGACAGCCAGAGGAGATTAACTCATAAGAAGAAAAGATTGTTTGCCATGCTGATGACTTTAGCAGTACAGTAAACACATTCCTGGGTTAAAAGAGGAAGTAAACTTTTAGAGAACCATGTACAGAGAGAAAAACAGATAACATGCATTTATTGTCCACAAATTCCAAGTACCTTTTTGCATTCTTTCAAAAGGTGATTCCCTTGCATTGGGCATAAATTACTTGGAAAGGATTCTGAGATGTGCGTGTTTACAGATAAGTGAAAGTGCAGTTTGTTTTCAGTGCAATCACTTGCATCCTGATCCTG